GGGGAAATGAGTTCCACAGAATGATGACATTGTTTGCATAAATATAAACTTAAGATATCATTAATTGATAATTACTACTTTGTAATGATTTAAGTATAGACCCGGGAATTAGTTTACCAGGGTCATCTCGCTAAATGAATACAGTTGTCACCTCCTTATCTGAGGGTTCTGCACCCATGGATTCAATCTACCATGAAACAAAAGTATTTTTCAAAAAATTATCTGTGCTGAACATGGAAAGACTGTTTTCCTTGTCCTTATTCCTTAAACAATATACCACAGCAACTATTTACATAGCTTTGACATTATATTAGGTATTATAATTAACCTAGAGATGATTTAAAGTACATGGGGAAGACATATGTAAGTTATATGCTGTTTTGTAGAAGTGGTTTCAGCATCCTAAGGTTTTTGGCATGGGGAGGGGGTCCTAGAACTCATCAGATACTGAGATACCTAGGAATGACTGTAGTTGGAAAGTACCTCTATGTGCCTTAAGTTTTCTGTACATGAACTAGGCCATCTGCCACTCTCTTAATGGCCCTTTCAATAGGACAATAGTCTGGTCTGCCCTGAGAGAACCACCCACAATTCTCCTGCAGCTTATCTTCTCTCCACTGGCTGACTCTGGATCAGATCAGCATTTTTTTTTTTTTATTATTAGTTACACGTGACAGTACAATGATCTTGATATATCATACATTTGAATCAAATGGGGTATAATTTCTCATTTTTCTGAGTGTACAAGTTGCAGAATCACATTGATCATATAGTCATATAGTCATATATACATCCAGCAATACTATATGAGCACCTATTTGTAAATCCCCATCACTGTAAGAAAGAAGTAAGCTTACTAAATATGCATCGAGGGGCCCAGAGAGGATGATAATGATGTCATTCAGATTCCTCAGAATTGATCCTTTTCTCTTGTGACATACTGAGAGCTGTTTTACACCCAAGAGGTGATGGCTGTCAATTCCACCTGCTGTACCTCCTCATATTATTGATGTTTTATCTTATGGGAACTGGGCAAGTCCAAACCTGTCTTTCCTGGATTCACCCTGGATGAATGAACTGCACATGGGTGTCAGAACTCAATGCTTTTGTGCCGAGAATGTCATTGTTTCCTGAGGGCTGCCTTAAATCCTCAACCTAATCTCAGCCAATGCCTCCGGTGCTCCCTGGTCATTAGTTTTTAGTGGTGAGTGAGGAAAGTAGAGAGGAGGCCAAAGGGAGCAGTAGAGAGGAAAGGAAGATGTGCAGATTGCTCAATGCCACAGTACTGAACTGGTAGAGCTTGGCTACCTTCCAGGAATCCAGCAAGATGGATCATCTTGTTAATCTGGTAGAATCCATAGCTAATAGAAACAGAACTGCTTATTGAGAAGCTAAAATTATTGTTTGCTTTTATTCTGGGCAGAAGTGACCTCCAAAGATTCTTTTCAGTCCTGAATAGATGTTTGTTCATTGACATGGAAATTATTTTTCTAAGTGAGCTTTTTAAATGGATGTCTTTCAAATGTCAATTCATGTTAGAATTACTAGGGAGCACTGTAAAACATCTGGCTCCATTCTTAGGGACTCTGATTCAGTCGGTCTAGAGAGGAGGCCAGGAATCTGCATTTTTTTTTTTTTGGTACCAGGGATTGAACCCAGGTGTGCTCGACCACTGAGGCATCCCCAGCCCTGTTTTTGGTTTTGTTTTGAGACAGGGTCTCACTAAGTTGCTCAGGGCCTTGCTAAATTGCTGAGGCTGGCTTTGAACTAGTGATCTTCCTGCCTCAGCCTCCTGAGCAGCTGGGATTACAGGCATGTGCCCCCACTCCCAGCAGGAATCTACATTTTTAACAGACATTTTAAGTGATTTAGATGGTAAGCAGACCACACTCCACCAAACACTGTCTTGGCCCAGTTTTTGAAATAGCTTCTTTCTTTCATAGTCTGTTTGATCACTTTCTTTATTGAAGGATTTATTGGCATTTCCATGTTTATTACCTGAGTTATTCTCACAGCATCACAGAAACTAGAGCAGGAACCAGAAGTGGTTAGCTCTATTTTATTGAGAGTGAGGGGGCGTAAGGTACAATTGAGGCATAGGGAGAGGTAGGTCACCATGAGTCAGACAGCAGTGGGAATTGAAGTCCAGCATTGATGACTCTAAAACCAGACAATTTTCTGGCGCCTATTTTCTCAGCTTGTGATTTCATATTTAATCATAGTTATTCTTTAGGTCTCCAGTTCATTGGCTTGGGTAAGCAAATCATATCTGAATTTTAAACAATATAGCTTAGCATCTGTGTGTCAGTTTTTGTTAGCCTATTAGCGCTTCTAAGCTGAGCTAATATCAGCGATGATATATGTGGAACTGACTTAATCTGCTCTCTGAGCTTGCTTCCTTTGTCATTTCTGAAGACTTCTTACATAAAGTAAAAAGGATCAGATTCATCCTTTCCATAACAGTAGGAACTCTCTCTGATCTTCTAACTGGTAAAGTACTAAATGTAAAAACTCTTATCCCTCTGTCTCTCAAATTTGAGTAGTATATGCGTCATTTTATATATATATATATTTTAGGCACAGTTGGACACAATGCCTTTATTTTATTTACTTATTTTTTATGTGGTGCTGAGGCTCAAACCCAGGGCCTCGCATGTGCTAGACAGCACTGTATCGCTGAGCTACAACCCCAGCCCTATGGGTCATTTTTAAAGGAAAAAAAATTCTCAAAACTCTCAGTCAACTTAAATTATCCTGACTATAATGTAACTTAAATTTTAATGTAACTTAAATTTAAAGCTAGGAATATAATGTTCTTTTATTTTTTATTTGTAATTCTCATACAATTACAAAACCAAAACAGACTTACAAATGAAATACAATCACAAAACTAATACTGGCATGGTGTGGTGGTGCATGTAATACCAGTGGCAGAGAGGCTGAGGCAGGAAAATCACAAGTTTAAAGCCAGCCTCAGCAAACTTGAGGCACTAAGCAACTCAGTGAGACCGTGTCTCTAAATAAAATACAAATAGGGCTGGGGATGTGGCTTAGTGGTTGAGTGCTCCTGAGTTCAATTCCTGATATAAAAAAAACCAAACAAACCAAAACCCCCACAAAAACAAAAACTAATAATATTCAAGTTATTAACATGAAAAATGATGTCTTTTGCTAAAACAAAAGCATTTCTTATATTGTGACTATGATATTGCCTGTTAAAGTTCAGCTTATTTTGAGTTCACCAAATGACCTATGATATCTTAATTTCCTCACCTCTTTTGGAACTATTGAGACCACACAGTCCTGTGACATCATGTGGCTTTTATTTTGTGCTTAAAAGCATCTTTTTAATTTTAAATCTCTCTCTTCTTTTCTCATTATCTCAGAACAATCAAAACAGTACTGAAATACACAAGTAGATGTAGGTTCTGAACTTATGTCGCAATACTGACTTACAGTCATCCTAATAATCTGAACATGCTTATGTAAATCTAAAAAATTATAAAAACTAAAAGTAAAACGCTAGAGAATACATCTACCCAGAACTAATTTGAGAAAAACTGTTCAGGTCTACTGATTCCCAAACTTTGACTACTACTAAAGGCTCTGTCACATGGAGATGTGAGGAGCATAGTGAAGAGAAGAATGTGGTTTTTGTTGACTTCCCAGAGGCTCATGCTTTTAAAAAACTCTCCTAAATTTATTTATTAGCAATTTTAGTTTTATTACATGTATAATCATTTCAGAGCTTATCATTCTAAGTTGCTTAAATTCCACTCCAAAACAAACAGACAGGACATTTTAGTTATTTTGTGCTGACCTAAAAGGGTAAGGGAAGACTTTCCATAGCTTTGTAAGAAAAAACTCCCAGATCTTGTCTCTTCCAACTGCTGCCTTTGAGGACTCTTGGAGGTCTGGAGAGGCCAATTTAGGACTTATTGTACAAGCAAAGATTCTACCCCACCCAATTTGGAAGGATTAAAGCTTGTCCTAGTTTTGCTTGATTGTTGTACTTCTTGCATGCTAAAGAGCTAAAAAATGGGAGGAAGAAAATACAACAGAAGGCACCATTCCAGTACCAAACTGAAAAGAAACACAAAAACAAGAGAGCAGCATGTTTTCAACAGCTTGCGTGGAAAAAATATTGACTGGGGAGTTTGGACAGCACTGTTCATTTTCTCTCACCGCCCGCATTATTTGTCTTTCAGAGCAGGAGCCAGGCCAAAGGAAGAGGTGGAGGGGGTTCTGTGGAGGCTTGAGGCCAAGAGGGGAAAATTAGGGCTGGCGACCCAATGGCTGGGCGCCAGGATTAAGCCAGAGGAGACGCTAAAGCCTTTATCCTCCTGGCCTCGGGCACCCTCTTTGGCTGCCTGAGTCCTGAGCAGGCACAACACGCATCACTCAGGTAAGGTCCCTGGTTGCTTCAGACCACAACGGCCAGGATGAATCCCTGCCCCTGTTTCTTTCGGCTGGGTAAAGGTCACAAGGGTTCCATTAGCTTTCTTAGCCCACCTTTTAGGAGTTCAGACCTACACCTCCTGCAATGTGGGTCGGGAGAGAGACTCCATCGAACCAGTTTAGTTCTCCCACCCGCTTGGAAG